TAACATCAGCTAGAGGATCACACAGGGGAACAGACTATTCCAAAAAACAGACACAAATGTGTTGTGAGTATGGCTGGACCTCCACTGAATACATATACAGGAAGTGTTGACAGATGCCCCAGAGAGTGGAGCCTGTGGTAAAAACAAACAAACAAAAAAACAAACCTCATTCAGCCAAAACAGTCATTAGTACACTGAGGCTGTGGGATGTGTCATATAATAAATATTTCAGCTATAAATAGACAAGTATAAGACTGTCGGTGCAGAAATGATTTGGTTAGTGTGTGTCGGTGGTGACAGGGTGAACGAGAAAATGTGTCTATATTACTTCTTGTATTGCAAAAGTGTGTACATGTCTGTTTTTGTCTGTGTATATAAATGTGTGTGTCCATATCACTGCCTGAGTGAGATCCAGGGAAGGATAATCTGCTGGTTGTTTCAGCAGTGCTACAGAACCATGCTGAGGGTTTTAGTCCCAAAGTGACGTCCTGAACGATGCGTGTGTACACTATATGTTCGAGAGAGAAAGAGAACAAGCAAAAGATCCAGAGTGGTAAAGACAAATAAGAAGAGCCCTCATATCTGTGTCACCAAGTGAGAGTTAGGATGCATGAGCGTTACGTACATTTTCGTTTACACATATGCGTGCTCTTGGCCTGTGTGTGCGTTAAGTGAGTGTATATGAAAGAGATTTGTGCTTCTCTGATATGGAAAGAACTGCGCCTGACTTTTATCTACTCGGGCTTAGATCTGGTAGATTTGGGGGGGGGCATGTTTCCCACACAAATACACATAAAAACACATGCATGCATGCAAATGTGAAGCCAGAGATACTGCACACATATAAGTAAATAAATAAAAGGTATGCATAAATGTACAGGTACTCATAATATACGCTTCCAGTGGCATAACTTTTGAAAGAATTTTAAGTGTGTGCTTTGCTGTGTGTGCCTAATGGTCTAAGGTGGCATATCTGTGCCAGTGTGTTTTCCCCCATCTTAAGCATTTTTCCATGCGTTTGTGTGCAAGGACAATACACCATAGGTTGCATTATCATATTGAGTAAGTATTCAACTAGTCGGCTCCACTGGGTAGATATAACTGGCTATCTATAGTAGTAAGCTGCTAGACTGACTGGTAAACACAGAGTGTGTTTTCATTGTGGTTTTAGCAGTGTCTATAGATTAAGGTTAAGCTTCAACTTCAGTGACGATGTTACAGGGCGCAGAGGGTTACAACTCATGTAAAGTAACAGACTGATTCATTACTTAACTGCCTGTCAGACTTGACTACATGATGTAAGACTGAAATGTCTAAGAACAAGCAGGTTGGCTGTCTAAGAAGCACTACAGCATCAGTGACTGTTTGAAAGGAACCCTTCACTTTTGTTTCCTTGTGTTAGATGACACGTCTACAAATCTAGACTACTTGCCCATGTTCTCTGTATCCCTGTGGCCAGCTGCCTACTTTACTTCCTTCATCCAATGTCAGAATAATCAGAGGTGGACAAGAGAACTAAAGAGTGAATGAGGAGAGGGAGCAGCCTCAGCTAGAATAAAGCAGTTGGACATCATGATAAGTATCACGGCTCTAGTACCAGGATTATACCAGCTGTGTAAAATGAACACGGGGTGGTGGTTTGCCAGCTTTTTGAGTTTAGTGTAAATTAGAAAAAGCTGCCTTGAAGATGTGTCAACAGCAGCAGCTTGATATGATCTCTGTATAAAAAGGGCTAATTAGACTATACTGATTTGATGAAAATCAGTGACACACTACATAATGACAACTTGTTGATAGGACTAAAAATCTAATGTAAGATGGCATTAATAGTAAGAATAATCAGTGTAAGATATGGAGTATTACTATTTCAGTTGTATTCATGAAGGGTATGTGAGACATATGTACAATTGATTTATGACTCACTAACACAGTGTCTGCAGCATTTTGAGACACATATGGTGATCCAACTGCTTCAAGCTGGATGCCAATGTTTTCCTGAAAAGACACGCTACTCTCTGTGTCTTCCACTGTCGTCACTTATAACAAACACGCTTGCTGTGTGGCCATGTTCAGAGCTGTGAATCTTGAAAGCAAATTATCTTTGTTTATTGACTCTTGCCTGTCTTTTCTGTGTCACTACAATCATGGTGTGTAACAGTTTATAGCCATTGCAGTGATGTGGCTCTAGGGATGGCAATGTCAAGCTTATGGTCCACTCCTTTGGTCAAAGCCAATGACTGTATATATGATGGACTTTGCATCCCCACTTTGCTCCAATATGCAAAAGTGAAGCTAAAATATCATGAATACGGCTTCTGCCATCTTGCTTTTTTGCAACCAGATTCAGAATGGAGGTAGAGACAGAAGAGGAATGAAATATAAGAAGCAACTGCAGGAGAGGGCTGAAGGAGGAATGGAAGAGGAGGTGATGCACAGAAGAAAGGAGGAGGACAGCGGGGTGCGGAGTGTGTTGGGGGTTGGGTTTGACATAAAGTGTGATAAGAGAGATAGAGTGGTGAAATGAATAGAGGCAGGAGGTGAGATGGAACAAAGAGATGGAGTGCCAGAGAGAGAAAGAGATGAAACAGAAAGACACACATCTACACATTAATATGGATGAGATATTTGTGTATGTGGACAGTAGATACTTAGTGGTCAGCCTTTATAAATAACTATTATGCTTTGAATCACAAGCTGCTTTTATGATATGAATTTTAAAACTATAACTACCTAATCACTATTTCTATATGCTCTTAGAGTCCTTCAGTAAAAGAAACAACTTGCATTAGTGCTGTGCTGTTTCATTATTAGCATTCCTTTTTAGCCCCACTGCTTCAAGTTACTGTACTTCGGTCCAACTGGGCTGAAAAGCAATTTCTTAAATTATACACACTCAACCTAGAGATATTACAACAAAGCAAAGTTAGACTGTTTTTTAACTGTGAGTTTTTTTTTTTCAGTGTAATGGCTTTTACCTCTATTGACTTGCACTGGAATTGCAAATGTTTACAGCTTCTTTCTTTTAATAGCCTAAAAAATCTAGGCTAACAGTGAATGGATGTCAAGAAATTGAATGAGTGCCTTTAAAACTTAAAACTATCCCTTTAAGACTGATGAGCAGATGTATCCACTCTACTGATTTAAGTGCTCAAATGTCTGGCAAGCTAGCTAGTACAGAGCAATAATCGCTCACTTACACACACATGCGCACACACACATTCAGTCTAAGACCCTGCTGGCAGAGGAAAGCTGAAGACGATGACGTCATGACATAAACAATAGCTCATTCAGCTTGGCACTGGTGGTCAGGAAGCAAACCCGTGCTTAAAGGACAACATCTGTAGACTTAGGGGAGTAGTATGTCCTCTAACCCATACTGAGCTGTGGAAACACCAGGAGAGTTTGAGGGCAGTTAGCTAAGCAGATCATGTTGGAGTTAGGCGCATCTATTAGGCATTCCAGCAAGTCTGTAACTGTAGAAATTGTGCAGGGGGGGTGGTGCTGGAGAGCAAACCACAGGGATTGTATACAGGCCAGACACATAGAGCTACATTATAGCCATAGTTCAGTTTCCATGGCTTTTTCCATATGGTTCCTATTACAACCTCCCCCTTCAGTCTGCACCATCTTCTTCAACCCTCTTTAGTGCTATTAAGGTAATTAAATGGTACAAAGGTAGTGTCAGCTGTTGCTGCATTTACAGAATTCCTTGGGGTCTATGCAAATGATGGACAGAGTGAATGAGTAAGTGATCATAGTATAAAATCTCAGCATTGCCATAAATAGCAGGAGGCAATTTGAGACAAAGTGAACGATTCTCTTGATGTTCTGTGCATACAAATGATTCATTATACTGACAGGCATCCTGCATCTTATTTGTACTCTGCTGTATGAACTCTGACATTTTAATCTTCCATATGAAACAACCAAACTACACTCCATTTAAATGTAAAATACTTTACTGTAACTCATACTGTAACTTAGAATTTCTGAATTATTTGTCCCTGATTTCTTGTTAGCTTATTGCAGTTTAAGCCAGTTTTGCAAATATAGCACTAACACTGAAGTGCATAAAGCCATTCAACCGTGTGCAGTAACAGGTTCTCTTTTCTGCTTTTGCAAAACTATGACTGATTTTAAGATGAATAATATGAGCCTAGACCTTTTTATTTTTTGTTTTTTTATGTTGGTTGGGTAAACATGTTTATGGACAATTACGACATCTTTAGCAGGCAGACAACCACATTTATCTCCAGCCAACCACCCTGCCCCCTCCCAGATGGCCAACAACTGGGTGTAACCATGCTCACGCCACCTGCTGGTTAAACCAAGGTCACAGCATAACTACACAAAGCTTCCACTGCCTGTCTGCAGCAGGGCACACACTGTAATGTGTCATCAGTAATCATTCATCCAAATTTAGAATAACTAAAACACAGTTTAGTAGTACACAAACATTCACTTTATAGTTAAAATGTATAAAGATGTTCATCTAAGTATGAAATATTGTGTAGATGAAGTTCATTGGAGGAAATAATGGAAGTATTAATATAATTTAGAGTGCTGAATGAGAAACCTGACTAACTGCTTTGTATTGCCAATTTGCAGGAAAAAAGTACAACATGATTCACAGTATTAAAGGTATTCCAAGATGCAGTAACATTAAAAAACAAAAAATGATCAATTTCAATACTTTGCCCAAATCTATTAGTTGCTATCAGAATCTATAGTTTAAAGACCTTATATGTAGGCTTTAAAAAATTCTGATTCTTGAGAAAGCTTGCAGCCATACAAAAAAGACACTGTTGCAGAAAGCAACACACACTGATAACATCCTCTCTTCCCCTGTTGGATCTGACCTAAAAATACAGAATAAAGTGCTTACTCCAATAGTTTTCACCAAGATTGTCTAATCTATCTTGCCTTCATAGTACATTTAAAGATGCTATAATCACATGAACACAGGGACCCAAACAATCATAAGCAGGCCTCATCTTTACCTGGCAGAGCTGATCATGGCTCCACAACCTTCCATGGGTCCCTGGGACTCTGCATGGTATCCGTTAGGGATGGCCCAGCGTCCAGGCTGGCTCAGTACAAACTCTGACCTGCTTCCTGGTATGGTGGTCCTGAGTGGGCTTCCTCCTACTCCAGCCACAGCTCCAGCTCCACATAGTGTGCTCTCCCCAGTCTTGAGATCACCACCTAGGGCATCTGGTCCAGCCTCAGCCCCTTCTTGCTCCTGAACTGTCGCCAGCTCCAGCTCCAGAGGTTCAGGACCCTGTAACAGAGCCCTCTGTTGTATGAGTGGCGTCAAAGGTGCCTCAAAGCTGACACAGCTGTCCGTCTCATCTGTGAGTGACAGCACATCCAAAGAGTCCAGGCTGCTGTAGCAGGTCCCACCCCTCAGCAAGGCAGATTCCACAATGCGCTCAAATGTAGAGCTGAAGCCATCTTTGTTGTCCACCCTACCCTTCTCCTGCTCCTCCTTCAACGCCCTCTCCTCTTCCTCCTCGTCTTCCTCTTGAGCAGCAACCTGCTCAACAATCTGCTCGAATGTTGAGCTGAAACTGTCCTGGTTTTCCCTCCCATCTCCCTCTTTCTGGAACTCTTCCTCCTCTTCCTCCACTTCTGTGTTGGCCTGCTCTACAGTTGCCTCAAAGTTAGAGCTGAAAGTGTCAAAGTGTGTATGAGACCCTCCTTCATCTCCTCCACTGTCCTCCTCATCAGCTTCATCCTTGTCTTCGTCCCCACCTATACCATTCGCCAGTCTATATCAACAAGAAGACAAGCAAAGTGTGAAATTATCTTTAGCATTTGATATCAACATGAGGAGGGTTTTTGTTGGGATTGTTGCACATAAAAAGCAGATCATTCATATCCATTGCTGAGACTATTTTTCATTCAGGAGAAATACACAAAATGGACAAATATCTCAGCTTCGACTAACAACTGAAGCAAGATGAAAGATGAAAAAGCACTGTCCAATTTGTTACTTTGTGAACAGCTGGACGCTTATCTTCCCTCATCTGTCAGAACTCCACAAATCCACTCATTTTATTTAAGAGAATAGGAATGTATTGTAATGGTCTGCATTTGCTGTTGATAGATGTAAATCCATTCTTTTTTTTTCAATAAAGACTGATGAAAAACAGCCTCATTTACATATGTTTTAACTGTTTGTATTGGTGTGCTCATGTACAGTATGCTTTTTGCCTAGGTCATTTTGTAAAATGTCAGTGAAATACATAAGCACATAAACACATTAGATTAATTATGTAGTAGAGAACACACTCAGAAAACAATTTGCAACTTAAAATATTTAGTATTTTAAAGTGGCACTCTTTCATGATATTACATAAACACAGTCTACCAAAGGAAAAAAAGATAGTCACAAGTTATAAAGTAAGACTTGAGGAAGATGTGTGTGTGTGCCTTTGTATTACTTACATTAGGGGGAACAAAGCCTGTTAACACACTCACACTGTGGGGACTCAGCCTCTGGTCCCCACAAGGATTCAGAACTCACTGAATTTTAGGGTGACAACATGGTTTAAGGTTAGGGTTAAGTTAAGGTTAGGATCAGGGTTAGGGTCAGATTAGGATAGGTCTACAGGAAATGAATGTAAGTCAATGATGAAAACACAGCGTGTTGTTTGTGTGTGTGTCAGTCTGTTTATCAAGATGAAAACGAATTAACTGTTGATTAACAGCTCATGTGATATTTTATGCATGTAGCTGCTTGTCCAAAACATATGCAGTTGTAATGATTCATATGTTGGTGGATCTGAGGGGAGTATTGTCAGCTTTAATTGAAATCATATGAATCGAGAGACTTACTTACAAGATTTTAATGCTCTATAATAACAATATACTGACAGAGTGTAACAGTAACGAAGACGTAGTAAACTAACCGTGCAGTTTGTTGAGGGTGAGTTGCTTCCTTCTCTGTAGATGGCTGCATGTCTTCATTTTCCTTCCCCTCCTCCTCATGTGTCTCCTCCTCCAATGAGCTTATTTCCATGTTTATACATCCTTCCTCTCTCATACCTTTCCTCTCTCCCTCTGCCCCTCCATCTGTCTGTTGATCCTCATCTCCACTGTGATCTGCCCTCTCTTCTTGAGGCTCACTCTCTCCTCCTGCATCCTTTACTTCCACCCTCCCTTCCCTGTGTGTCTCCCCCTGTGCCTCCTCCTCTCCCTTCCTGATCTCTTCTTGTTGTTTCCCCTCTTCTACTTCCTCCTTCAAATTCTCCTGCTCTGGCTGGTTGAGCGTCTCTGTGTGTGGGTCACTGGTGGTGCTGGATGTATTGGGCTCCACTGAGTTCTCTGGTGGGGTGGGAGAGGGCAGAGCCTGCCCCTCCTGGGTCATGGTGTTCCTCACTGAGGGGTACTGCTGTCTGCTCCAGTCAGAGATGAGGACCTGGGCTTTAGCTCAGCGGTCGAGGAAGAGTCTTTGCAAACAAAAGAAAGAGAGAGAGAGAGAAAACAGCATGAAATGAAGACAAATTACCAAGTGAAAATAAGATGGAGGAGAAGGTGGTGTTATAAAATGAGTACATTAACTATAGTAGATACTTATACAGTCATTTGATTTTTTTTGTCTTAGTTGCAAGTCACAGAGGTCACCTTCAACAAAGGAACAGCTGTGGATACATGTGTGATGCAGTGCATTTCCAGGTGTATATGTGTGTGTTACACACAGAGAGAAAGATGCATAAGTGTAGAACACTTTGTCCTTTGATATTAAAACAGCTCTGAAAGCAGAGCAAGAAAAGATAGATGAAGTAGAAAGCAGCCAAATAGAGACAGACGGACAAGCAGCCAGAGAGATTTTCCAACAGATTCCTGTCAAAATCTTCCTGCTAGGTCATCCACTCTCCTTCTATGTGGGGATTTCACAGCTGAATAACTATTTATTTCCAGTAGTGCTCTGGCTGTGCTTAGCGCAAGTGGATGATAGTAACCTGTATCCTGTACTGTTACTCTCACTTGGATTGTTGCTGAGCGGCTAAGTCCTCTGTACAGCAGGTCTTCCTCTGTCCTTATTGAGGCTCAAGGGCAAATGCTAATGAGCAGCTATTGCTGTAATTACGTTTCTGTAGAGCTAGCTATGTGTGAATTATTGCTGTCTTTTGATATATTATTCTTTTTTCTAATAAGATTTATTTAGTGAGGATAAATGTGAAATTAATGTTATTAAGATATAGTCTGATGACCTGTGTGAAAAATGTGACATGTTATCTATGTAGATATCAGCAAAAAATTCACCAACAATTCTGATAAAGTATTGCTAATTTTAGTCATTCTGAACCTACAAAATACCACGTGGTTCCAGCCTCTCATATGTGAAGATTTAATCTCTAAATTTAATGGTTTGAATTATATTGTTCAAATCAAAGTCCTAACAATAATAACAAGAGAGATATACAACACAATTTGACAAATCAAAAATTTTACAAGTGAAGTTTTGTTGAATTTTGCAAACAGCAGCTGGCAAAGCATTTTCAGCACAAGCTTGCAGTAGTATAGCTCTTCTGGTGTTTTCAATTACATCACACAATTTTCAAGATCAGCAATGTCAATGTAGATTAAGTGTTTGGAGTCTGACTTTGTTGCAAAGTGCACCTAGGATGCAGCCTTGTCTGCCCTATCTATACAGGCAGAGTCCTTAGACACAGTTACTCTCTGCTCTGCTGAATCATCCATAGCAGGAGACTTAAGGCACAACTGCAGTAAAATATTTACTAGAATTCATAGCTTTCCTGATGGGATGCAGATGCAAGTAAGAACCTAGTTAAGCTGAAACAAACATCCGGACTACTGCCAACAAATTTCTGTGGTTTCACAGGGGAAATTTCTAGTGTTTCTGCTTTATTTTGATATCAAACTGAACAAATGAAATCATGGTACAGAGGGAAAATTTGTGACAGGCTAGGATGAGAGCCAAATTTTTATCTATGATGTTGCAAAAGCTTTGTTTAGCCTTAGCATGAGGACACCAAATGTTTCATCAGAGCTACAAAAAGAATGATACAAATTATACAGAACCCAGCAATATTTCACATGGCACCTAACAGTATGGCTCATTATTACCTGCCACGTGAACCACAAAGAAAGGTACAGCTCAAAAACTGGTAGGCTAATGCACTTGAAGGCTGTTCTTGTCTAAATCATTCACTAGGATGAGCTCAAATAATCCCAACCCCAGGTAATGAAAATTTGAAACACACTTCCATCTGAATATATTGCAGCTAATAACATGCTCTTACTTACACAAGTACTGGCATATGCAAACAGGTGCAATTTGCATCCAGTTATGCTATCTAGCTATACACAAAGATGCATTTGCCCATATTAACATGCAGTCAAATGCATACAGGCACACACACACACACGAACAAAACAGTGACACATCTCCATAAATGGAAACAGTGAATGGTTATGAAACCAGACAAGGAAAGTGGGAATTCTCTCTCTGTGTCTCTCTCTTTTTGTCTCCAGTATCCTGCTTTCTCCCACTCTCTCCTCTTTGTCTGTTCAACATTATGTTTTCTACTTTCTCACAGTCTGACTCTGCTTTCTTTTTTCTGTCTCAGACCTTTATTTTGCAGTAATGGAGGTAAATGAATCTTAGCTAACAGAAAAAAGTGGACCATGGAAGTGAGCAGCACTATGAATCTGGCTGCTAAGGAGAGACCGCAGATGTGCTCAGACACCCCACATAGATGGATGAAGAAAACATAGCCAATGTTATCAAAATGTTGTATGTGAGGCTATGAGATTGTGTGTGTGTGTGTGTGTGTGTGTGGTTTGGTAATTCTCATGTTTTGGAGACAAAAATCTGTTTATTCAACCACACTGGTGGGACTTGACATCTTTATGGGGACAAAAACCAAGTCCCCAAAATTGAAGTCATGACATTTCAGAGTGAGGACTTTGTTTAAGGTTAGGGTGAAGGTAAGGGTTAGGCAAGTAGTGGCTATGGTTTAGGTCAGTCTCCAGGAAATTAAGGTAAGTCAATGTAAAGTCCCCACAAGGAATGAAAACACAGCATGTTGTGTGTATGTGAGAGAGAGAGAGAGAGAGAAAGAAAGAGAGTCTTTTTGTCTCTATGTATACAATGGCTATCAGGAAAGACTTACTGCATTCTAGGTTAGTCAGCAGAACACGGGAGCTCTTAAGCGTTATCAATTTCTTTTCATTGCAATCAGACCATGTGCCAATCATGTGAACACCACCCACACACCACACACACACATTGAAATCAGGCCCACCTTGCCATATAAACCACCAATCCAGTGAGAATGATGTTGGATAAAAGGCCAAGTCACCATTAAATAGCTCTCCTCAGTCTCTTGTGCCTTTTATATCTTTTTTAAAATCTGTTTGTCTTTGTGTCTCACTGCACACTCTCTGATACACAAACATAAATACATCCATAGTTTAATTTATTGATCCCTGAGACACAGAGTCGCAGTCCACTGGGAGTCTCCAGTGATAAGCATGACTTGTCTCTATAGGCCGCAGAAATACAAAAGAAACACTACTGAGGTAACCAGACTGGAGACACTTTTCCCAGTCTGAGCAGGTCTTACTGGGTTAAGAAGCCCACACAGCTGCAGACATTGCATCCTCAAATTGTGTGATGTGCTCTGCAACACTCATTTGACTGTTTATGAAAAAATACCAGTGAGCTCTTGAAACTCAACAGTTAAACTATTAACATGGTTAAAGGAGTATTTCAGCAATTTTGGATTACCCTTCCATAAGGTCGGCAGGCATATTGGAGACAGGTTTTAAAAAGAACGGTCAAAAACCCACCAGAAGTCAACAAAATGGGAAAGTAGCTGCAAAGTTATCATTACTGTTAGTTAAGATCCAATATTAACACAAATAACTGCTAATTTTAGAGGACACTGTTTGTGTTTGGCTTCACAAAGTGGTCCAAATATGTAACAAAGCAGAGATAGCTAATTTAGGCCATGTAGACAGTAGGACAACAAACCTAGTGGGGGAAACCAGCTTGGAATAAAGCATGAGCTCTCCCAAGTCACAATAACAGGAAGTTTTCCTCATCTTCCCATTATATGACTGCTGCATTAGACCATACCTGCCTGTGTAAAGTCCATGCTCTTCAAGCTGCACAGCCCAGGTTGTAATGTAAGATTTTTATAGTCACTAATCCCTGATGACATTATCAGGGTTATTTTCTCAGACTTAACAGAGCTCCTCCAGAATCACATAAGACTTTATACAACAGTTTTCACATGCTGAGAAGAACGTACCAAGACTTTAAACTGATCTTTAAGTGCAAAGTCAGTGGACATTCCCTTTGCATGTATAATACATATCATGATTGGCTACTTTTGTGCATTTCAGCAGGGCACTTGATGCCATTCTTGCTCAAGCTGAGTTGCTCCATGCTCTTGTTGGAAATCACCAACTCCAATTGACCACTTATAACTGGTCTGACCTCATTACGTCTGTAGTGCTGCCGGATTCTTTTTAAATTTGTGCAGCTCTTTTGTTTGTGCTTTGTGCCACTGTGAGGGTTTGTTTCTACCACACCATTGACAAGTGGTGTGAAGGACAGTGTTGGTGCCTCACTGCAGTTACTGGCATAGAGTTAATTACCTCATCTTGTAAAAAGTAAGTGATATGATAAACTGAATGAGCACACCATGCAGAAATACAAAACCACTACTGTATTACATATTTTTATTTTTTTGACTATTTAAGATTTCATTAGAAAATTTATAGAAAAAAAGAAGAAGTCCCAACCCCAGCTATCATAATAGACATCTTAACCACTTAGATCAATAGGCCAGCCCTCTAAATACTTTCATAAAGTGCTAATTAGTAATCAAAATTAATTTATGAAGCTATTAGTTGAACACTGATGGATGATATCAGATCTATATACTAAGGACACAGAAGGAAAACCTCTCCTCTTGCCTCCTCTACACTTCTGTCTAACAGAGGGACATGCTCATAAAGCGCTGCAGTCTCATACTGCAAATGACCTACTGACCCTGTTCATAATAATATGCCAGCTGGGTGCAGCATTGGCACTGCAGCACACACTCACACTCGCGCACACACACACATTTTAAACAGTGTTACAAGCACAAAGGAAGAAAAATCACTTCCTTGTTGTTATCTTGGGACAGGAAAGCAGGAAAATGTGGGCTTGGAAGTAGTCCAGGCTATTTTCCTATAGCCAACATGACCACAGAGCCTTCAACTAGCCACACCAGCCTACTGGAGCGTGACAGTCAGCCAGCTACCCCAAATCACCCCAATACATCTATGTCATCAAGGTCAACCGATTGCATTTTGTCACGCTAAACATTTACATCTAAATACATACTAATGTGGTGATTTATCATGTTTGGGGCTACTTCCATTTTCTTATGTAAAATCAGACATTATAACACAAAGACAAATGTAACATGCCCTTTGTGATGTCTGACTTTTTTTTTTGTTTCCCACATTTTTAATCCAAGTAATATACTATTCCAACAATGGTTTAAATGTATAAAGCACTTTTTAAAATGCTGCTTCCTGTTGTTCATCAGTAGTGCTAACAAAGTCATTAAAACAATGAACAAAAAAAATGCCAACTAGAAAATCAGAGGAGGAGAAAGAGATCGACAGTTTGGTCTTGTCACTGCTGCTGGTGTGTCTGCATGTCTGACACCTTGAGTTCATGGGGAATACATGGGAGAGAGAGCTGCACTTTTGCCTGGGAGAGCCCACAGTTGTACAGAGGTACTGAATTACAATGGCTCTAGAAGAGACATGGAAATGTCTATAATTAAGATAATAGTGACTTTGCTTTCAGGATGAAAAATACGCTGCTATCAAACACCTGCTTTAACGAAGCCACACATCCTAAAGAAGCAACGATGTCTAGGGCTGTTAAAGTCACTGGGGTATCTTATTTTTATCTAATCTGTTATCACTAGGCTATATAATTCCTGTTGGGATTTACAGAACTGTTGTTTTGAGATGTGCATAGGATACTTTTAAAATGGCTACTGTGTGCCTGCTTCTTCTTCCAAGTGTCTCGCACTAAGACATAAACAAACAGTAGCCAAGCAAGGCCTGTTGGTCCCTCTCTCCTGCCTCTCTCCCAGAGAGAGTGTTTGTGTGTGTGTACATCTTTGGACAAATTTTAGTTCAATACCATTCCTCTCTTGTGAGTACCGGCCAAAAGAGTTGTTTGAGGGTTAACACTTGGTTTTAGGGCTCACATTAGAATTAGATTAAGTGTTATGGTTAAAGGGCTGAAGTTGCACACTTAGTTGTGATGGTTAATGTTAGCTTAAAGTATAGAGCAAGGGGATGCATTATGTCAAGGAGTGTCCTCAGAGTGACTAATATGTGTATGTGTGTGTGTGTGTGTGTGTGGGGGGGGTGTTCTTGTGCTTGCTATATAGTAAAGACCAAAAATGTTGTTTTTTTTGTTTGTTTTTTTTGCTACAGACTGAAGACATTTTTGTAAAGTGAGGACATTTTGGCTGGTCCTCACTTTCTGAAACACCTTTTTGAGGGTTAAAAATTAGTTTTAGGGTTAAGGTTAGAATCAGGCTTAGGTTAGTGTTAGGCATTTGATTCCAATGGTTTAGGTTAGGGTAAGGGGCATTATGTCAATGTGTGTCCTCACAAAGATAGAAGTACGAGTGTGTGGTGTGTGTGAAAGAGAGAGCGGTGCGCGAGACAGCCATGTTCTCCCAGCCTCCCCCGAGCCAGTAACCATGACAACAGGATGGCTGGGAGACACGGTTCAAGCTCAATTGAGGCCGGTGTCTTTCTTTTCCTCCAAAATAGACCTTGGTCGCGATTCAAGAGCGACTTAGAAGCGGAAAGGAAACGCTTTAGTCTTGTTCTTCTCAGAGAAGAGAGAGAGAAACACACACCTCCATAAAATCCCACGGCCCGCACGGTTCATATCTTTCAGCTTATATTAGCCCCGCAAATACTGCCGTCCTACAGCCCTGCCGGTGCGGGTAGGCTGGCGGCGGTGTGTGCATTTTTGGTCACATATTAGCAGAAAACAGGACGTTAAAAACCAATGCAGCCTTTATGAAAAATGCATTTGTTCCTCTCGCTAGTAGATTAAAAGAGCTAACAGTGCATTATATCTGAGCACGCAATAATTGCCGGTTAAACAGATTTTGAACGCTAACACAGACCTACTATCTTAAAATGATAAGACTTTGAACGTATGACCTATGAAATAACGTACCGTTTGTTGACTCACCGGTATAATGCGTTTAGTCAGAAGTGGACAGGGAGAGTTTTGCGCCGGCGGTGGTCCTGTTTCCCCCTCTGTCTCTCTACATCCACCCCGGGTATAACACTGACAGACGGGCTCTTTTTCTCTCCACGCTCAGCGTCCTTCCAAACTGCCCCCCTCTCACCGGTGTGCGCGTGCGACCGTTGTTCACGCCGCCACCGCCGACCGAACAAAACTCGTGGTGTAGTCTCGCGCCTCTGCGCAGGCTGACAGGGGCACGCGGGAGGTCCAGGCAGCGGAGAGCGATTACTGAACGGATTGATGAATGGATGGAGGAACGGATGCGTCCTTAGCGTCCGCTGCTCTCTGTAGATCCTCTTTGGGATTGAATGGCTGCTGAGAAATTGTAATTCTGCTCATCTGACTGCTCGGGAGCACCATCACTCTCCCGTGGCTAGACGCGGTGTGAACGGGACGTGTCTCCAGGGCCTGTTGATATCAGACACTGTAGCCTGCAGTGAAGATTAGCACTGGCAGTTGTGTTGACATAAGTCCTTCTCTCTGACCACTGATGATATAACTGTCCAGGCCTGGAGTGTATTAGAACAGGCCTATAATCAAAACCAGTTAACATGACCGGAGGAACTGTGGTATGTTTCCCAGACTGCGGTCCAGGGATGCCCAGAGGACCTTGGGAAGGTTTCAGGGTGTCCTCAGAAGAGTGGGATACTTGAATTAGAAATGTGTTTGGGGAAAAGCTTGGGCATTTACCAGAAATACATAGCATGCAGATGATTTACAGACAATCAAATAGTGCTGTCCAAGGTCTAAAGTCCTGCAGCTGTCATATCCTGGACGTACCACTGGTCATCATGTTGCAGTTTGGTTTAGATAGGAATGTGAAATCTGCAAAGGAAAACATGACCCCTGAAACAGTCAACATCCTGCTGGTATAGACTGGTAATTAATTGTGTTATATGAAACCCACAGTTGGACACAAAGTATAGGTGTTTATGAGCCAAGTGTTCATGCTTATAATTTGTAACAAATGATGAGGAACTCAGTTTTATGTTGGCACAATGCAGTGCTAATTATGGTGGAAACAATCTCCAATTTGGGGGCTTACATTTTATTATGGTCATTCTACATTTTATCATTTCAGCACAAGACCCTGGACTTATACCATCTGTCACTGTTGAACATAAGTATTCTAGGAATTATTATGGCTAGACCGACAGACAAGCAGTTAATGTAATCTGTCAGTGTACACTACTCTGCCCTTGACAAAGCCTATAAAGGATATTTCTCCCACTGTACTAATATATCCCTACCACCCATTTTCACCCTGCTCTTTCACTGTCACTCACCTCCCACATATAAAAACAACACGGTAAAAACAAGCAAAGAGCTGGTTTAAACTGTTTGTTTTGTCCTTAGAACATACAATATCGTGCCTCATCTCATTGGTGCTCCTCAAGGTCATGGCAGCAGTAGACAATCACACACATGGCTCTGCATTGTCTGCTGCCACCATTTTACAATGCTTTCTGCAGGACTGAAGACAGCCCTTTAAATGTACAACAGCATCAAGCTTTAATGTATGTCCACATAGACTGAGAGGCTCATCGTTTAGTCCAGTGATCTCCAGCGATCAATAGCACATTAGATGAGACCGAAGAAGGGGAAAAGTGATAAGAAGAGACTGGGGGCATTAAGAAGAAGAGAGACATGTATAAAGCATTAGAGATTATGCAGACAGAACAAAAGAGACTGATGTGTGTTTGAAGACAAGGGGAGGAGAAGGTTAGAGAGGCAAGACCCACAGCAAGATAGGTGGAGGGGGAGTTATGCAAGGAGAGGAGATGAGGATGAGGAGGAGAGGGTGGGTGCAGGAGGTCAAAGATGACAAAGTGAGATCAGAGGAATCACAGATGACCACAGAGACACAAATAGAGTGGTGGAAAAAGTTTTGGGGAAACCTAGTGCAGATGCAATGTCAGTTCTAATTACTAATTCATTAACCTGCCTGGTTCCCTTCCCCCTCTGCACACACACACACATACTGATTCTTCCCATTCTGTCCCTCCTCTGTGTCCCACGAGAGGTGGAAGGATGGATGGATGGAAAAATGAAGAGGTGTGTCTGCAGCTAAGTGACATCTGCAGGGCATCTGCAGGGCTGTGATGGCGGCAACGTGTTGGGTGACTGGTAAGGAGAAAAGTTAACAGCTTGCATTTTGGTTTGTTGTGGGTTAGGTGGTCTCCTGCGATGATTCACATTAGTGTGTCGCATGCATGTTGTCATGCATGCACCTGTGTGTCTGTGTATGTGTGTGTGTTCAAATGTGCCAACATGAAGAGTATGTGTGAGTGCATGTGTGTCAATGAAAGCAGGTAGTGAGGAAGACAAATTAATATGCTGATGTTGGTGTGCTCAAGTAAAAACACTGAGCGTATATAATCAAAGTAAGGGGAAGGTGCCAGACAGACTGACGGTGTGTCTTTAGCTTCAACTCAGTGACTATTAGTCCTTTGTGTGCGTTTATGTCCAGCAGTAAGGATTTGGTTTTATACCAGGGAAGTGAGGACATTTTGGTTGATCCCCACTTCCTCATGGACTGTTTGAAGGTTAAAACATGCTTTTATGGTACATGTTACAATTAGGAGAGTCCTTACACAGATAGTTATTCAAATCTGTGGGTGCATTTGTTTGTGTTTGCCTGCAAAGCCTCCTACTTGTGTGAGTGTGTGTGTGTCCCAGCTGTCACAGAGCTCCCTGTTGTTTGGCCTGCCATGGCAGACGGAGCCAGCGATTTAAACTCTGTGGATCGATGCTCGTTTAAAGGATTTCTCTATTTAATTCTACCTCACTCAGCAGCACTGCATCCTTGTGCACGCGCGTGCGTGTGTGTGTGCACTTGGGTGTATGAATATGTGTCCTTGTGTCTACATATTTGTATCTCTGTCTTTATATTGAGCTGTGTGTGAGTGAGCATGTGCAGTGGAATGCTGAAAGAGGTCTTGGTGTACATGGATGCTAACATCACAGCTGCACAGCTATTTTTGTGAGGACAATCACTGACATAATGCATTCCCTAGTCACTTACGCTAACCTCAACCATCACTACTAAAAGCCTAACCCAAACACATCCCCTAAGCCTAACCTGGACCCTAAAATGAGGTCTTGTGGCCTTGTTTTTCTATACACAGTTTGTCCAATTTTACAAAAATGACACGGTGTAAAGTTAAAGCAAGTGTCGGCTTTGGTTTAAGGCTAGGGTTGTTGTTCAACAACTGTTCAAGGTAATTGCTGCCACCACTTTAAACAGAATGATTGTATTATGTTAATGTAGGCCTGTTACATTTGGAAAAGGGGGGACAGCAAGAGGCAAACATTTTGTCACTGGGGCGCCATCAGTAATCTTTTTAAAATGCATTTTTAACCTTTATGTTTCCAGGGGAATCCCATTGAGGTTTACAAGCTCTTTTCAGCCCTGGCATCACAGTTAGCTTGTTACACAACATCTTTTCTTTGTGTGGTTTTGCCTAAAAAAAGAGAAAAGAAACATCATTCCTACCTTCAGTATAGACATCATTATTTATCTGCACAGCTTTGTGCTCGACTCCAGTGATTCCCTTAACTACCTTCATCAACATTTGTTACCCCTGAAGAGGAGGGGGATACAACATGTCAGCACTTGTGTGTGTGTGTGTGCGTCTCATCTGGGTCATTATATCCACATGCATGAAAAAGCAGGTTACGATGACACACATCGCTCCATGTGACAGAGGCAGATGGGGGGTGGGGGTGTCTTCACTTGAGCAGCACTTACTTCCACGTGTGACCACTTGTCTATAGTAAGATGAAACAGAAACATTTGTGTGAAGAAAAATAATTTGGGAGAAATAAAGGAATCTGTTAATCTGAAATGAAACTGGCTAGGAAGAATTTATTGCTTCCTGATTCTACACATTTTCTCCAGAGAAATGACATGGAAAATGTACAGAGATATACATTTATGCTTATTTATGGTAAAACCTATTCTGTTTGTGTTTAGATGTGTGCATGTGTGTGTGTGTGTGTGTGTGTGTGTGTGTGTGTGTGTGTGAGAAGAAGAGCATGTGAGAGAAAGACAGCCAGAAGAATAAGGAAAATACTGGCGAGCTTGCCAACAACATGGTGAAAGAAAGCCCTGTGTTAGAGACACTCTTTTTTGTGTATATGTGTGTGTGCCAACTATGATTCTGCTGGGCAGTCAGGTCAACATGCAGACAGGTCACCATGGCAACAGTGCCACACTCAACCCCTCTGTGCCCTTTTGTTTATATGGAAGTCATATAAAAATATGGAAGTCTGACAGCTGCTGGAATCACAAAACCACTGGTGGCAGCACCTTGATACTCAGGAGGAGCCTGTTGTTCATCTACATTGCCAAATTTACCTTAATCCTGATGGTGCAAAATCCATTTAAACTGGACTAAAGGAGCATACTGTACCCGCCTTTTCTGGTATTCAAGATATACACATTGTCATACTGGTAGATTCACACTTCTCTCTGTTGTGTTTTTCCATGAAGAAAACAACATACAAGTGTTCTCTTACTCACTCCCTCAAATTTGCTTAAATTTAGCTTCTCTCTCTGGTACATGACTCATGGTCTGGCCTCAGAGTGCTGACTGCGGTTACAGGTGTAAAAACAGTATCTTTGAAATAATGAAACATGAATGAACCTGGCAAAAACAGTATTGTGCATTATTTGGTTATAAGAATTGTTCTAAGTGTCAAAATTTAATTCACTTTTATTTAAAGCTACAATATGTACTGTATCTTAAGGTAGCACTAGCATGATACTCCAAATCGATCCACTCCGCTCCACCCAGCACCCCCTCTCCCTGCTTCACTGTGCTCTACAACGATCTGCTACGCTCCGCCACGCTCTTCAGCTATGAGAATGCAACAAAACCTAATGATCAAGAAGAAATAATTGAAAATCTCTGATTATTCAGAGAGGTCAATTGTTTTCAAAACCTTTTAGAAGCTAATGTCTCTGCACTGCTGCCAGTACTGTTCAATGAGTCTGGGTCACAGGAGGCTTCGGCAGCACCTCTCCACATTAAGACAAGTTGTGGAGCATAGTTCTACAGTGCAAATATTTGAAACAAAGGTTATATACTTTAGCTTTAATTTTAGGCCTCAGAAAGATGATTTCAGGTGGCATTCAAATGTCACAGATTTGATTTGATTTGATTTTGATTTATTCATTCAAGCATGTAAAGACAGTTGATATGTCAGCACATGTAATTTCACACATATCCAACAATAATAATCCAATATCAATTTACTTATACCTAGTACATGCTTGAACGGAATAAGAAGAATCAGACTTATCTAGTCCTACCCCATGACATCATCTTACAACTTTTAAGTCCTAAGCAATATCTCTAGATAAATAATTATC